TAAATTAGTCCTTCCACGCACACACACACACACACACACACACACACACACACTTGAGGGGTTGGATGGGAAAAGGTCCACTGACAGAGAAGAAAAATGAAACTGATGCCCTACTTAGTGGGAGAAAGCAATGAACAAGCATGGAAGGGAAGAGACCCTGCACATTTTAAACAGTACTAAAACTGTCAGCATAACTCCTTTTTATCCCATCATCTAAGAAACACATACGTTCTTAGTTTTTCTATAGCTTTTTAACGTGCGGTTTAGTGGGCTTTGTGGGACTCTGTAGTGTACATAATACATTCAGAAATTTAAATAGAGTGTCTAACTCTGACTTATTGAGGTAAAAATAACCAAGTATGACATAAGAGAAAGAACTTTGCTAACAAATCCTGCACATTTAGCTTTAACCATACTTCTACACTGCGTGTGTGAAACACGGTTCATTTTCCTGCATCCACCAGTGAGTACCGGACTTGACAAGGTCAATTTAGTAGGCTTTGATATCAACCATGTACAATAGATGTGTGAGGCAAACAAAATACCACTGACAATAACAAAAAGCACAATTCCAGTACTGTAGTAATATTTGCCCTTACAAATAATGAAAAGGGGAACGGAAGGCAGAAACACTGCAGCCTGATCTTTGACAGGCAGTTAGCAATTCAGAAGTAATAATTCTTATTGAAAAAACCTGACTCCACCGGCTTTGGTTAAGAGTCATTATCAGCATTCGCTATGGAAGAGATGAATAATCTGGAAGGTGGTTCATGTTACAATGACAGATCCACCTATTTGTTTTCCAGACATTCCACTTGGATCAAAATAATTTTAAACTTTTGGTTTTTTAAAAGACCCATTGTTCATAGTTAGGGTCCTACCAAATTCATGGTTTGTTTTGGTCAATTTCACAGTCATAGGATTTTAAAAATTGTAAATTTCATGATTTCAAATATTTAAATCTGAAATTTCACAGTGTTGTAATTGTAGGAGTCCTGACCCAAAAAAGGAATTGTGGGGAGGGAACCATGGGGGGGGGGGGGACGGACGTTGTGGTACTGCTGCTGGCAGCAATGCTGCCTTCAGAGCTGAGCAGCTGGAGAGCAGTGACCACTGGCTAGGAGTCCAGCTCTGAAGGCAGCAGCGCAGAAGTAAGGATTGCATGCTATGGTATTGCCACCCTTACTTCTACACTGCTGTTGGCAGGGTGCTGCCTTCAGAGCTAGGCGCCCGGCCAACAGCTGCTGCTCTCCAGCCCCCAGCTCTGAAGGCAGTGCAGAAGTAAGGCAATACTGTGATCACTCTAAAATAACCTTGGGACCCCACTGCAACTCCCTTTTGGGTCAGGACCCCCAATTTGAGAAACGCTGGTCTCCCCCGTGAAATCTGTATAGTATAGGGTAAAAGCACACAAAAGACCAGATTTCATGGTCCATGACATGTTTTTCATGGGTGTGAATTTGGTAGGGTTATATTCATAATCCATATTAAGATAAAAAAAGTTTAAGCAGGACAATGGTATGATATGAAGTTTCCACAAGTAAAAATATAAATTGTGTAATTTTTTTTAAAAAGGATTAAAGAAAAAAGCAAACTACATTTGCTTAATAAAAAGCTATTCTAGATTTTTTTAATAAATAAAATGAAATATTACTTTGTATATGAATTTTAGCACGGACCATAAAGAAAGGTGAGAAGCACATGGGTAGCCAACACTTGCAACCATGACATGCATGTGTTTGATAAGAGAATATTGCACTAAAAGAGGAACCTGAAGGTTGTAAACTTCCTTCATTGACCTAGAAAAGTAACTAGCCATTTCCTGTATTCAGTAGCAAACCTGACCTGCTCTATGTCTCTGCAAGTTGCTAAAATGTTATCAATGAACCTGTATTCCATTTCCAAGCCAAGAGAGTCCTGCATAGGGGCACGCTTCAGGCGTTTGGTTTCTTGAGTATAGCCTTGTTTGCTTGAATCATTTAAGCCATCAACATCCATGGCATGAGTCACATGACTGACTGCTGTACTGGGGTGTGAATTATTCAAAGTTCCATCACTGCTGTCCACAGATGTCAACCGTACATTTGGAAGAGGAAGTTTGTTGTTTAAATGGTGCTGAAGGTAGAACACGTGCCGTCTTCAAAGGAAGATCAGGGGAGGGAAAAAGAAAAAAAAAAGAGTGACACACTGAAAAAAAAAAAAATACAAACTGCTGCCACAACTAAAGATATTAAAGTAATTTCAATTACATTTCAATGTGCCCTCTGAGCAAAACTCCCCACAAAAATCAGCTTATTTTGCAAAGGTGGGAAAAGGGATGACTTCCTATTAGGCAATGAAATATGAAGCCTTTCACGTCTCTCTGATTGATCTGAATAGTAACCAAAAATTATTACTGTTAAACAGTTGGTACTTGACATACCTGTCAGCTGAGTGGGTGGTTTCACATCACTTCCTTGTGATGCAAACATCAGAGCACTACAACCACTATCACAATTGACATTCTGAGCAACAAGCTCAGCAGACTTCAAGCACAGAGAATTCAGACTAAGTTCCTTAAGTCCAGGTGGAGATAACATGCTTCCTTTCATTGCCCAGGCAGTGGACTATTGCTGCCCATGCTGTACCTGTCCCCAGGTTAAAACAGAAGACTTCTGTCTTCAGGAGACTTCTGTTAATCTAATATCTTCACAAAACTAGCATCGCTTACCAACTCCCACTGCAGGTGTGCACTTGTAACCAATTGATCAGTGCACGTGTTATGTGTTCCACTCTGTACCACAGAGGATATGGGTCACTTACAACTTTCAGCTAGAAATCCTGATTCTTCAGCTCAAGTGATAAAAAAAGGTCATGCTTTCAGGTCATAGGCTCCCAGCTCAAACCCTAATGTTAGGATGGAGGTTGTCAAACATAAGCCAGGATTTGATTCAGAGAAATGCCTACACATACACTAACTTTTTTCAACGTTTTTCCATATTTTCAGTGCAATATGAATGTGATCTCTTCCATTAAATTGATGGAGGAGAATATTTAGGTTTTTTAAAAAACACAAAGATTTTAGTGTTCATGACAGCTGCCAGATCAGTAGCAGCAGTGCAAGCTTCCCTATACTGTTCTACCAAAGTGCCTCAACCCTGTCTTGTTTCTTTTTGTGACTTTTGAGCTTTTACAGTGAGCAGTGCACTACAGATAAAAGAGTGGGGCCAAAATATGTATCTATATATCTCAGCAACAATTTTTGCTAACATTTTGAAGTTGCAGAAAGGTTTTGGTTCTCCTGGGTTTCAAAATAGACCGATCTTTCACTTTTCAAATATTGTTATCACCACATTTTTCTGCATTTTCGAAAAATAAGATTTTCTAAAATAAAATTCTTTAAGTCCATATCTTCAATTTGGAAAAATCCCTCTATGACTATGCTAACCTGTGAGCAATAGGGGAAAAGAAAAAAAAAACCCAAAATGAAAGATTTTTTGAAATTTTCTATTCAACCAAGTCAAAACTGTCACAAAAGTTCCCATTAAAAAATTCAGGCCAGCTGTATTCACTTAGTGTTGGAACAGCCTGAATGTTGACAGTGTGAAATCCTGGCCCGACTCAGGTCAATGGAAAAATTCTCATGGATTTCAGTGAGGCCAGGATTTCACCCAGTGTTTATGGGAACTGACATGTCACTAAATGTCAGGGAAACCATAAAGTGCTGTAATTTGGATTTCTTGAGGAGGTGGAAATGTTCAAATAAGTTTTTGCTATTTTTTGCTCCTATCAGCCAGCACATTTAAGAAAAATGGAACTGAATTCCACTCCCTCTTTTGTATCATCAGGAGAATGGTTTACTACATTCTAATTACAAGGCCTATCACTATGGCTGTACTAACACACTGAAGGCAATGGAGTTGCATAACTGTTACCAAGGGCAGAATATAGTGATGCTGTGTGAGAAGACCCCTTTCGGATATTCAGATCCCAGATTTAGTTTGCAGGATTTTAAGTGTAAATAAAGAGACTTTCTAACCTAACAAATTTGATATCAATAATGGAAAGCAAACATGGAGCGCTAAGATACTATGTTTACAGTCCCAGATCAGAGTAGAACCAAACCTGAACCCAAGAACAAAGAAAAGGGGCAATTATTCAACTAAAGTTAGTTTTCAGAGCCAACTTACTCACTGTGCCTTTGACTACATAGTTTTTTTTTATCTAGCCAAGCACATTTGGAGACTCTGTGCAGTTAAATTTAAATGACAAAAGATGAATTAAGGAGTGAGGAGATAGATTAACAATCCAGGCTCTATCCAGATGATACTGTCCTATGGAAGGATGTGTACAGCTTATTTCAACAAGGTACTGAAATCCAGTCAAGTTTTCTATTTAATAGCTCTGATGGGTGTGGAAATCAAAAATCAAAGACTTAGCATAGGGCAGGAAACAAGTCTTTACTAACCAAGATGTGTCTTTAAGCAGAATTACAATTTGCCCTTTGACTTCAGTTTTAAAGCAATAAAATCATTCCAAGCGATGTTTTATTTGACAAGCCCTCTTACCTGTGACACCACAGTGTTTCATGCCCAGGGAAGGTATTAATAAGATCACTGCAGAGCTCCAACTCTTCTTTTAGAAGATTGGGGAGATCTACCCTCAGTTCTTCTGTACAGGCAGCTTCAGACGCTTCATTTTTTTCATCCTTTGGAAGACTGGGGGTTGGCTCATTTACCAGCTGATTTTGCACCAGTATAGAATTGTCGGTCACAGTTCTGCCAATCAAGGACTTTATTAAGAACTGGCGGTAGTGGAATCCACTATGGTCTGAAACATGCATGGACACCCAATGTTTAGTGGAAGAAAGTTCATCAAGGAGAATCTGAAAATAAGAAGTATAAAATTAACCAATCCATATAAATAAGGAATTTACCAACATTGTTTCTTGTATCAAATTTCCCCCCCCATAATCCTTCCTTTAAGCTTGCCGCCAACTCTGTCACCACCACCACAGTTCTTCCTAGGAGAAAATGGTAAGTTTAAAAGAACAATGCTAAAATGAAAGCATCTATTTAAATAAATAAAGACTTTCTCAAAATAATTACCTCATTATACAGGACTTTCCAATTTAGAATACTAATTCATAGGCAAAACAACATGTTTAAATGACATTGTTACATACAAAATAATTCTGTATTTGTGGACCAGACTTCTGAACCTTGGAAAAAACAGTCAAGATGGCTAATGTTAGTATGGTGGGTCCTGCGCTTTTCTTGGCGGGGGGGGGGGGGGGGGGCGCAAGATACCACCCCATGTCCCTGCTCTTGGGGCACTGAGGGCCCCGCTAGTGGCCCAGGAAGCTGGGGAGGGGTCTGGGTTTGCTCCTCACTCCGAGTCCCAGCCCCTCTCAACCCCTGCGGGTTCTTACCCTCTTCCCCCTTGGGTGGGGTACACTGGTATCCGTAGGGCCAGCTGTGGTGCCCCTTGAGTGCCACATTCACGGGTCAGTATATCAGGTGCTTCCGGCCCTATGCCCTCTCAGTTCCTTCTTGCCGACAACTCTGACAGAGGGGCAGAAGGGCAGGTAATGGAATGGACATGAGAAAAACATCTCAAAGAACAATAGTTATGAAAAGTGGGTAACCATTTTTTTCTTCGAGTGCTTGCTCATGTTGATTCCATTTTAGGTGACTCACAAGCAGTATCAATGGAGGCGGGCTCAGAGTTCACGGTCTTGCAGCTTGCAGCACTGCTCTGCGAAAGCCAGCGTAACAAGATGCGAACATGCGGACAGACGACCAGGTAGCAGCCCTACAGAGCTCTTGGATTGGTACCTTTGCCAGGAAGGCCATTGACGAAACTTGTGCCCTAGTCAAGTGTGCTGTCACGATCATCGCCCGAGGCTTTTTCACCAGCTAATAGCAATAGTGGACACAGGCCAAAATCCTCTGAGCAGACACCGGGCTACCTTTCAGTTGCAATGGCAGACTAACAGCTGTGTTGACTTACGGAACGGCCTTGTTCTAGCTATGTAGAAGGCCAGCGTCATGCTGACGTCCAGGGTGTGTAGCCTGTGCGCCTCATCTGATGCATGGGGGAGGTATGGGGGAAGAAGGTGTGGATCCCGAATGTTCAGGTAGAGACACGCCAGATCTTTCAAAAACTGTGCCGTCATGTCATGAGCGAAGACTGACCTACCTTGGAACGGAAGATGGAAAGCCGAGATAGCGGCCAGGTGGACCTTGATCGATGACAGGGACAAGTCTTGGAGTCTGAGGTGCAGCCGATAATCTAGGATCTCCTGCTTGGCCCGAATACATCATTCTGAGGCCCAGCACTTCAATTTTTTCCATTTAGCCAGGTAAGTCTTTCTGATGGAAAGTTTCCTGCTACCCTGCTGGATACAGGCCAAGAATGCCTGTTTGTCTGCACTTAGCCATGCAGTAGCCAAGCCGTCAAGTGCAGTGCCGCCAGGTTCGGATGCAAAAGGCTGTCCTGGTTCTGTGACAGCAGATCCGGCCAAGGGGCAACTGCAGGGGAGTGGCTACTGAAAGGCTCCGCAATGTGCCGAACCAGTGCTGGCAAGGCCACACGGGGGCTATTAGGATAACTTTTGCCCTGTCTTGCCTGATCTTCACAAGGACTCTGTGAATCAGCAGCACTGGTGGGAAGGCATACATCAGCGCCCCCGACCACGAATGAGAAAGGTGCCTGATAGGGAGCCCCTGTCCATTAACCAGATCGAACAGAACATGTGGCATTTTCTGTTCTGCCTGGATGTGAACAGGTCCACTTGGGAGGGGTCTTCAACCTCTAGAAGATTATGCTGACCACCTCCAGATGGAGTGACCACTTGTGGCGAGAGGAGAAAGTCCTGCTGAGGTGATCCACCAGCACGTTCCTGGTTCCAGGCAGGTGTGCGGCTATTAGATGAATGGCTTGCCGCACACAAAAATCCCAAAGGCAGAGAGCTTCTTGACAAAGGGGCGAAGACCTGGCACCGCACTGCCTGTTGATGTAATATCACGGCGGCGTTGTCCATCAGGACCTGCACCACCTTGCCTTTCAGGTAGGACAAGAATGCCTGACTGGCAAGGAGATCTGCTCTGAGTTCCCTGACATTATGTGGAGGGTCAGATCATTCTGCAACCAATGGCCCTGGGTGCTCAGCTCCCCCATGTGGGCTCCCCAGCCCAGGTCCAAAGCATCAGAGACCAGGGTTAGTGATGGGGACACAAAGGGGACTCCCCTGCAACACTGACCTGGGGTCCAACCACCAATCCAGGGATGACTTGATGTGGTCCAGTACCCTAACTTACCCGGTCCAGGTCATGCCTTTTGGGAATGTAGACAGCCATGCTTGCAGGAGCCAGAGATAGAGCCGAGCATAGGTGACCATGTATGTACATGCAGCCATGTGGTCCAATAGCCGCAGGCAGGTATGAGCCAGTTGTCAAGATACGGGAAGCCCTGAACCCCTCGGCGTCTCAGGTAAGCAGCCACTGGCACCATACATTTTGTGAACACCCTGGGGGCCGATGAGAGGCCAAAGGGCAGTGCTGTGAATTGAAAATGGTGCCCATCCACTATGAAACAGAGGAAGCGTCTGACCTGGGAATATGGAAATAAGTGTCCTTCAAGTAGAGGGCGGCATACCAGTCTCCTGGATCCAGGGAGGGGGATGATGGAGGCCAGGGAGACCATGCAAAACTTCAACTTTTTGAGAGACTTGTTGAGGTGATGCAGGTCCAGGATAGGTTTGACGCCCGCCTTTGCCTTCGGAATTAGGAAGTAGTGGGAATAGAAACCTCCTTTCATGTCCCAAGGGACCTTCTCCACCGCCCCCAGGCACAGAAGGTTTTAGACCTCTTGAACGAGGAGTTGCTCATGAGAAGGGTCCCTGAAGAGGGACAGGAAAGAGTGGGAGGGAGGAGTGGCTGAAAACTGCAGGGTATAGCCCCGAGATACCAGCGGTCCGAGGTGACCCACAACCAGGCCGAACGGTAGAGACGAAGAGGGTCGAGGAAAGGACAGGGTGGATCCGGGGAACTGACTGGGACGTCACTCTCAAGCGCACCTTCAAAATGAGCTCTTCTGGCCCCCAGGATGCTCTGCCGTGTCAGGCTATGCGGGTGAGCAGGAGGAAGAAGGGCGGCGATGACCAACTCATGTCTCTATCCCTTCTCCTAGCAGACCCCTGACGGGGCAGCCAAGGCCTTGGCGGAAGGGGTGGCCAGAACTGCTTCCGTGCAAACTGCAGCATATGCATGCCCAGTAAGCGAAGGGTGGCCCGAGTGTCCTTCAACCCACGCAGCCTTGCATCTATTTATTCAGAGAAGAGACCATGCCCATTGAATGGGAGGTCCTAGATCAAAGTCTGCGTCTCTTGGGAAAGGCCAGCGATCTATAGCCAGGAGCTGCGCCTCATAACCACTGCCGACATGACCATCTGACCTGCCAAGTCCACCGCATCCCATGCCATTTGGAGGGAGCACCTAGCTGCCGCGGTGCCTTCTTCCACTAGGGTGCCGAATTCTTGAGCCAAACCCTGTGGGAGGGACTCCTTGAACTTATGGAGGGAATCCCATAAATTAAAATTGTACGTTCCCAAGAGGGCCTGACGGTTCACCAACTGGAATTGTAGGCTGGCAGTGGAATAAATTCCCCCCCCCACCACCACCCCCAAAAAGGTCCAGTCTTTTGGCCTCTATTTTTGGGAGTTGAGCTGGTGTGCCCCTGCTTGTCTTTTTCGTTGGCCACACAGACAACCAGTGAGCTCAGAGGTGGGTGGGTACAAAAAGGTACGCGACCCTTTGGCTGGGACAATGTGCTTCTTTTAAGCCCTTTTGGAGGAAGGGTTTGCCAGAGGGTCTTGGCAATTTTGAGGACCCCGTCATACACTGGTACTGCAGCACGTGCCCGGGTATAGGCTGAGAGGATGCTGAATAAGGGGTCTGCCTGCTTGGCCATATCCTCCACCTCTAGGCCCAAGTTCTTGGCCACCCGTCAAAGCAGGGCCTGGTGTTCTTGAAAGTTGCCAGGCGGGCTGGCCCTAGAGGATCCCGTGACCGCCTCGTCCGGGGATGAAGACGATGACTTACTACTCGGGGAGACCCTGGGACATCATCCCCCGTGGGGGGAGGTTTAGAGGTGAGTGCAGTCTCCTCTACCTTGACCTTCAAGAGTGACTCATACACCAAGACCGGTGCCGTCAGTACCGCCAACTTTTGCTCCGATGCAGTGGCAGGTGAGTGGTGCGAAGGGGGCATCATCATGACTGGCATGCCCCATGTGCTCCAATAAGGCCACCCGGCCTCGGGAGCCCAATTGCACCAATGGAGTCTGGGCGAGGGGCTGAACTGCCTTTCATGCCAGAGGAATTCCCTTCTGGTGACCACGGTGGGGCCATCGACACCTGCGTCTGCCTGCTGATGGTCGCCGCTGGAGTGAGAGGATTGGTGACTATCATGGGGACTGGTGCCAGGAGAGACCGGAGTCGTGATGGGGAGTGCTCCCCCAGGGCATGCAACCAAAATCTGCACCAAGGATGTGCCGGCAATATGGAGATTGGCACCTCCCTTTCGGCGATCCGCGTTGAGACGGCAGGTACCGCGATTGCGGTGCTGGTAATCTAGGGCAAGCCCCAAAAGATCTAGGCTGCGACTCCAGAGATCTGCAGCATGGAGAAGAGTGCTGCCTTGTCTTGCGGGAATCGGTGGTGCTCCACTGCCCAGAGGGGTCTTAGCAGCTGGCTTGCCCTTGTGGGGAACCTTTGCCGTTTCCTGCGGCATGCGTGGTGCCAGCAACATGGGCAGAGGTCTCCGCTCTCTTGGAGCTGGAGGAGCCTGGGAAGGTGTTGATGCCACCAGGAGTTTGGGTCCC